TTGATGGAACTTGAGGCCCTTGCCTCTCAGCCTATCGCTAGTTACTTGGGAGAACAGACCAACAATTGCCTTACTACAATCTCCTTTCAGGTAGTTGTAGAGAGCAATAAGGTCTCCCCTTGGCCTCCTCTTCTCCACTGTTGCTGCAGGATAGAACAACTTCATAATCTCACAGATTTCTCTTTTAACACTAGAGAATTGGTAGATAAAAGGCCAGTAAAAATTGTTTTATGGGAGGAGGGCGACACTTACTATGAACAGGTGGGACTTGATGGAAGAATGGCACATGGCATTTCCATATTGCCTTGGAGGCATGACGGGATGCATCTCCCGCTCTCTCTTGTCTCCAGCAACAGTTACACGTTGTTGGTTGCGCATGTAAGCAACCTGGGGGTAGGATCTCATACCCCCAAACACTTCTTTTGCCTTCTTTCTTGGGTCATCCTTGAGTTTCAAAGAGCTGGATTAGTAAGCTATTTGCTTTCTTTTTTTGTAAAATCTACTAAAAGAAAAAAAAAAGAAAAAATCTGCCCTGTTGCCATTCATCAGGAAGGCATCGAGAGAGTAGCATGGGGCCCCAGTGCTCCGTTCATAGTTTTGCTGGCTGATTTTATTTGATATTTTTTAACATTTAATTGCTGTCTTCCAGATTGGAGAAATATTCACCACTGATGACTGCTCTCAGAGATGCGAGTGCACAGACAGCTCCAGTGTCTCCTGCTCTAACATAGTGTGTGGATCTGATGAAATCTGTGGCATTTCCAACTACAGTCGTGGATGCTACAGGAGTGAGTCAACCACACACTCTCTTTGATGCTAAGAAGTCTTGACTTCTTGCTTATAGGACATCACTAGGTTGGGGATAGTTGCAACAGAGTCTCAACAGAAGAAAAGCCCTTCACAAGCATACCGGGGATCTTGCTCTCCTGTTTCATTGCAGAGACAGCATTTCTTTCCCCTATTCCTGTTGTCAAATACAAGTAACGTGCCTTAAAATACAGGGCATGTCCAGCATTAGCAGTCGGTGTAATCTAACAAAGAACAGTTCTCTCAAGGTTGGATTATCTGAGAGTCTGAAGTGTTTCTCCTTCCTTTTGGCTAGGTGGACCATGTATGCCCAGTCCTTGTAAGAATGATGGAGTTTGCTCTGAAACTGCCAACAGCACCTCTCTCAGCTATTACTGTGAATGTTCAGAACTGTACACAGGACAAAGCTGTGAGGAAGAAAAGATAGGTAATACAACTATTTCAGATTTCACTGTCTGCATTACACACACCACTTTCAAAAATGGGTGTCATTATGGAGAAGACTGAGCTTGTGCTTCATTTCCATACTGTAACTCAGTAACCCAGTGGGTGAGAGCCTGTGGTCATCCAAGCAGAAAGAAGGGGTCAGATCTGCCAGTGGAGGGATGCTACAAGGCATGACAGCAGCGCTCTGTAGAGCATACACGCCCTGGGTCTGACACCACTCCAGAAAGCCACATTCATCAAAGAACACAGTATAAATCAAGCAGACAGGCAAGGGTTGAGACAAAAAATCTGTTCACGGTATGCTTAGCTTTTACTGACAGGGCTCTTCTTTCCTCCTCAGTTGATGACCTTCCCACAGAGGATGCCGAGCAAAATATAGTTGCCATCATTGTTGCAGTTGTGGCAGGCGTAGCTGTTATCGTCATTCTCATCTCCTCTACAGTGTACCTGTACAGGTAAGGCTTTTTCCAGCTTTGCTATGTTCAGCACAGTCAAGATGCATACACGTCTTTTAGCACCTGCAAACCTCAAAACTCCCCTTAGTCACGTACCGGCAGGGCCAGAAAGGAACCACAGCATTCAGGATCTCATTTGAGGACTGTAAAGGAAAACTCAGCTTTTTCTACAGAAATGAACATATGTCATTTACCTTTACACAGGGCATATGCATCACTATCACAAAACTTGGGCTTCTCCAAAATCTGACTTCATTCATGCTCACGCCATTGTTTGACCTAGAAATAAGAATGTTTGTTTGTTTTATTTTTCCATTGTACAGAAGGAACAGAAAGATGGATACAGCTGCAATATCACAGGATTCTTCTTCGAAACAGTCCAGGAATAGACTGGATGACAGAGTACATGAGCAAGATTATGGCTGCATCGTGAACACTGCATTTGATCAAAGTGAATCCCGAAATACACAACTATAGTTAGTAATATTTTTCCACTTCATTTGTATTACTTTATGCTCTTGTATTTTAATAGTATTTCTAGAACTTTGTGAAGAAATAATAATAAATAAATCATTGCATTTTCTGAAAACCTTTGAAATTATTCATCTAAAATATATCTCAAATCTCATGTCGTAGACCCAAATTGAAATAAGTCCTAACTCACATAAGAAACCATGGTGTCTTCAGAGGTTGTTTCAAATACACTAAGCCCAGACAGAATTTACCAGCACAAGTACGTTGCACACCACCACATACACACCTCTGATAGATGTACAAACCGTAGTCTGATGTGGTCAGAATTAATTATAGCATCCCAGGCAGGTCTTCACAACATCATGTTATCCAGATCCTTCCACGGGGAGGGGATTAGCTGACTGAGCTGGACACAGTTCTTACTCCTCTTCTGGCAAGACATGTCCCACATGGGAAAGAAACGTATAAGACACTGAGCTCATCTGGTGGTGGGTGAAGTAAAAACAATGTCCCCCTTGGGAGTGCTGGACTGAAAGAAGTGATTGTTTGAAGGAGAGCTGCCTCCTTGCTGTCAGGGTGGAGTGGACAAGAAGTAGCATTGTCATCAGCCTCCTGCCTGCGGGTGCTAAGCAAGAGCATAACTGAACAAAAACTTCAGATCTGAAGAACAAGATCCTGTCATGAACTCTCCTTGAGGTCTTTGCAGACTCTGAAGCTGCCACGCTCTGATGAATGCGGGTAGAGATCCACACATGTTCAGCCCTGGGCCACACTAAGGACCTCCCTACAGCAGAAGATCAAAGGTGTTTGTGGCAAGGCCTAATAACATGCAGTGTGTGAGACATACACCCCAGGACAGGCCACTCACAAGGCTCAGGGGACTGAGGCACCGCCTGGGCCTTCTACAAGCCCTGAATGAATTTCCAGTGCCATGAATGAAGCTTTGAGATGTAAGCAATGCATCATTGCGGTTTCTCTGATGCTCTTCCAGTTCTTTGCAGGTTCACTTCTGATTACGGTGAGGAACAGTGTCGGCTTCCCACTGTTTCTGCCACAATGCTGGTTATTGTTTACTTGCCCTTTCTTCTTTCCCTTATATCCGTAAACTCATGTGTGCTGTTAGCCCAAACAGTATTTGTAACCTCCATGAACAATTAGGCAGATAAAAGGCATTTTATTCTGGTCCATTCGAGAACATGCCAGCTGTCCATACGCGCACAACACAGCTATTTTGGAGAGGATGAGAATGGAAAGGGGCTTTCAGCCTCGTTACACAATGCAAATTAATCACTGCGAGACCTGCTCGTGCACAAATGAACTGTCAACCTTATGCTGGAATTTCACCACAATTATAAAAGTATCTTTCATGCCTGCTCAGCAGCAGCTTCCCATCACGCTCCCGCGCTTGCTAACGGTGCGATTCTGTGGATGCCGAGCGGTGCCGACCACACTCGCCTCCCCTTGCCGTCTGCGGGGGCTCAGGCCAGGCCCCACCCTGCAGGAGCCCAGGCCGGGCTCTCCCAAGCCTCAGCACCCAGCTGTGCCCAGGTAAAGCAGATTTCTGGGTTTCCATGGACACACTCCCCCCCCCCCCCCACCACAGAAAAGCAGAACTGCAATTCAGTGCTCCACTGAATTAACTATTTAATGCCAAATGAAGCCAGAAAGATGACAAACTTTTAGCTGCTCTGATCTTTTAAATCAGTTGGCTTGCTCATTGGACTTTGAAAATGCTGGGCATTAAACACACGGCTTACTTCAACTCGGAGGACAGTTTTGTTGTTAGTGAACCCTTCTTTTTAGCACCCGGTGCTGGCAACAGCCAAGAAGCCAGCCGTACCCGCTCCCCGCGCCCTCCCCTCAGCTCGGCGGACTCTTGCCGGGGAC